ATATATGTATTTCTTTATGAAAAAGCTAAAGTCTCTTGGGGTTTCATCAAAGATAGTGAAATAATAACTGAATCTCTTGGTGAATCTTAGTGGATCTAACATGTTATTTCACGATAAACCTGCAAAGCGTTCCAGGACGTACTGATATTCCTGATGTGTATAAGAGACAGATGGCCCTTAATGTTTCCTCAAAGCTGGTGAAAGAGTTGCTCGATCTATTAGGGAATCTAACACCTTATTTCACGATAAACCTGCAAAGCGTTCCAGGACGTACTGATTAATTTTTACTGTCAAACAGATGAACTAACCATATAAAGATGTGTATAAGAGACAGGGTTAGAAGTTGACCAGAAGTCGAATAGGACCAAGAGCTGTTATTTGTTATTGTTGTGCAAAGGCCGCACACAATATTTCACCAGAGTTTTTTCATGTATTTTTAATTGAATTTTAACCGCTTCGTTGGWGAAAAAATCTGATTTATTCTGATTCGAATATACACCTCTCCGGCGGGCAGTTTGTTTAAAGACTTTTTTCGCAAATTAAAACTYGTTTTCTCACGTTAAAAAATTGTCCTCTTTAAATTGCGTACATTTTCGTAGTAATTTTTGAAACTCTTGTGCGATTCGGCTTTAACGTRGTGATTCACATTATCTAAAAATTAGACTCAGGTTGTCTAGAACCCACCATATGTGGAGCAATATCAAGGAACACAATGGCTGATAAAAAAAGATGTGGTAGAAGTCATACAAATATTCCGTTATTATTACAGCTGAATCTCGAACAAAGAAAACATTGAAGTACCTTAAAGTAAGCTTCTTTTTTTTTTTAGATGTGTATAAGAGACAGCCTTCAATACATGCGGGATCGTCAAGATCATATGCAAGAGACCTTTAAGGAGATTATATAGCTTGTCGCTCACAAGGTCTCGAAAAAGACCGCCAGATTACTGTTGGCCTCTTGACAGGCTGTCTCTTATACACACTGAAAGAGAATAAACCTAAAGACTTGACGCCAGCAATAAGTTCAGATGCAGCGAGCCCACCTTTACTGAGCTCGCCCAGTCCACCACAAGTGACCCCAAACACTGACTTTAACTATGGCAACAGTTTGAAGCGCCCTGGTGAAGTCTACCAAAATCCCGTGCCATTCAAAAAACAACGCATAAGTCATGTAAAGACAAAAGAACGTGTAGGTAAACACATGAGCCCAACTAGCGAAAATGCATTAGTATATAACATAAACACAGAGGCTGTCGTAGCTAATAAAGTGTTCAACGGTACAGAAATCACCGCCAATCAAAACAATTGTGAGAATACCAGCGGCGCTTCTGATC